ATGATGTGACCGCCAAATAATAATCCAAGACATATGCTCATAGTGGGTCAATCCAATATGTCGTTCTTTAATGACATATTCATGCGTTGATTCTGACATCTCTATGTCAATGAAAACTCATTGTCATCAATCAATAACATATTAGCCTTTAAACGCATTATTATTGTTCATGCCCATAATAATACTCAACTAAGGACCTTTCAATAATAATCATATTATTATATGGACATTATTATCTTTTATTTTATTTAATACATAAAAATATAAAATATAACGGTAATGTCTTTATTTAATAATACGGTAACAAAATATGTGAATAAAATCATCATATGATTGGTCTTTAGGCATACTCTAACAATTTGGGCCAAAGAGGAGATACCAAAGATGCTCGTATTCATTATGTACTATAAAATTAAATGTTATCCTAGGAGAGAGGTTTTCTAAATACATGATTAAGATGTACATTGGTACTTTGTTGCAGTTTCACACGAAGGTAATCATGCCAGAAACATGCTAGTCCATATTTTTTACTTGTTCGAGATGTGAGGCTTGTTGATACCCATGAGACTTTATGGAGGGGTATTATAGTGGTTGCGTGTGCTTTTCTATGTCACTCTTGCAAGTATAGTCATCCAAGGTGTGACTCATTGTGATCTTCAAGGATGCTTCCTTGTATGCGCTACTGAGCCTTTCCACCTTGTCACGACTAGATGTGAGGCATTGCAATTCGGTGCTCCTTGGTCGGTCTGCCTCTCTATAGCTAAAACCTTTTGTTTTTATACTTGGATCCCCAATTAAGAGGTGTCATATAGGTTCCAAGTAACAAAGTCCATGGGAAGATTACTTTTGGTGAAGAGGACTTGCAGTGTAGCTTACGTCATCCCCTTTCACCTTTATTTTTCCTTTCATCGACATATTTGGCTTGCTTTAATATTCCAGTTAGGGATGGTGATGGTTGTTTTGGGGGAAGATAAGGATAATTGTTTTTTTAGGTGAGATTTCGACTAATTTCGTTGGTCATGAGGTTTGTCCATGCTCACCACACCAATTTTTGATGACAAATCTCATAAAACGTGAGCATTTTATTCTTTTGATTTGAGTAGAGAGTCACAATCGATAAGAGAGCGATTGTTGGTCGGTGTCTGGGAGAAAAAGAGAATAGGTCATCGTGAGAGAAGAAGAAGAGTCAATCGTGGTAATGAATGACCCATCCTCCCTTTAATCTTGATTAGGGATATTTATAGTGGTCTTTGGTACGTGTGTCAACCATGGGGTTATTATGACTATCTTTTGATCAATAGGCTAAGTAGATTTGGTAGTAAAATCTTGGATTTCGCCTTAATGTATTATGTTAACGTGTGAGAGTACATATTTATACACTTCAATTGACTAAAAACCTATATTAAGAGGATGTCATATTCGGAACTCTGATAGGTGGAGAGTCTCATCGAAAGACCTCAGTTGGAAGAAAACGAGTCTAATTTGATGGAGATTTAAAAATTTCTAAAGACCGAATGTATAACATCTCTAAATCTAAATCTAAATCTAAATCTAAATCTAAATCTAAATCTAAATCTAAATCTAACTCTTACATTTTAAATCAAAATTTTTAAATAAAATATTTAGTATTAAATTAAATAAAATTATGCCATCGAAATTTCATTTTGCATTTATGTCGAAAACAAAATCAAATGAAAATATCATGAATAAAATAATAGAACTGAGTCAACTCGCCATGATTTGCCACCGAGTGGACACCAAAAGGAACTGTTATAATCAATGAGAAGAAATTCAGTTTGGACCTTAAGTTTTGGGGGAGAAAAAGAGAGCAACAAAGAAAACCAAAAAACGAATTATCCTCCGACATGGATTTCTCAGAACAAGATGTCGACCTCTCTGGAGATGACCATGACAACGACAACCGCGATGGTTCCCGTGAATCATCTTCCTCCCATTCGTCTTCATCGTCATCCTCCGCTTCATCATCGTCGTCGGCTTCTTCTTCATCCAACGGAAGCGGAGGTGGAGACAGCAGCAGCGCCAGTGGAAGCGCTGGCAGCGGAGGAGAAGAGGAAATCGGAGAAGTAGCCAATGTTAATACCACTAATTGTGACTATCATGAGAACATTGAAAGGAGTATTTTTGGCTTTGAAGAGGATGAAGATGAGGATGAAAAGGATCTTTTTGGGTCTGATAATGAAGAGTACTGTAAAACCTCTGCCACTAGCCCTTTCTCTATTCCTGGTAATTCTTTAATTCATTGTTTTTCTATTAGATTCAGTCACTTTGGAACTTAATTGGGGATTTGGAAGTATACCGATTCCTTGTATAGGAGATTTGTACAGCTAAATTTAATATACTACAAGTTAATAGGAGATGTTATGAACTCCTTTTCATCTGTTTGCTGAATGTTTTTGAATTGTAAGATCACAAGAATAAATATGCGTTATTCAATTGCTTTATTTGAAGAAATGTGAGGAAAAGAATTTGAGAATGTTATGCAGGAATACTTAGATTAGCTTTGCCTGCAAATCTTGTAATATACACTGAATAATTGAATTGATCATTGGTTGAATCTTTTGTTACCTGCTTAAAAGGGTGACAATCTTCTTTATCACTATTCTTTTGCAGTGTTGCCTGTTATTCGTACTACTAATAACCCGGGCAGGGGAGATTTTGGACGAGGTCGTTGGCACAATGATAGAGGCGCTGGTATCCTTTGCCGTCCTGGTTATCCTCCGAGGCAAGGTTATGGGTATGGCAACAAATTTGCTAATGGACATCGTGATGAATGCTTTGTTTCTGAGTTAAAGTTTTTAAAGAGTGAAGAGACATTGTCTAGAAAATGCATTGCTGTCTTTTTCTTTTTCCTTAATGATATTAAAAAAATTATGGTTTGATATACCAAAATAAGGCAAATTTGTTTTCCCGAATGACCTGTTTCCCTTTTAGATATAGTGAAGATGGTTGTCAGGATATTTCACATGTTTTATTTAGTTTATCTATATTTTTATCATCTTCTTGTTGACATGGCCAATAGTGTCTGCTTCGAATTATATTATGCCTTTAGATACCCTTTAAAACGAGAAAATTATTTACTTCTGTATACATGTGCATACACATGTTGTCAGGTAATTTTTTTGTGGGCTACTTTTAGCTAAATGCAGTAACTAAATTTGACAGCCATGTGAACTTGCTTGCTATAGCCATGTAGAAGGTGGAGATGTCTACTTTGATGACCGCAGCTTGGTAATATTAATGGATATTAGCATAGTATTTTTTCAGTAGGTCTTATATTTTCCTTGTTGTCTTCCTCATTAGCCCAATTTGTATGTTTCTTTATTGTTTGCATCACCAGAGGCTTTTTAAGCGTCTTATTACTGAAGAGATTGGGGCTGATCTTAATCAAGGTTTTGATACTTTTACTGAGAAAAAAGGTATGGTTTATTCATGAAAAGTTGGAAATTGATCATGTTGAAATTGTCTTGTAGCGGTGATACATTATACAAGAACTTGTGTTTATTTACACATTTCATTGGTGTTTTGTATGAGGTCTAATCAATGGTTCCAACCTTGTGATTTTTCCTGGACCAGAATTAGGTTCTGAGGGTTTTGTGACCTTGCTTGCATAAGGGACAAAAATATCCCCCTTCAAAACATTCATTTTGTGGTATGGTCCGTATGGAAAATGATACTTGTTGACCTATGAATTTGTCATTTAATGCTTTTATTAAGGATATCATCTAATAGTATTCCCTACACTTTTGCAGACTTTTCGCAACAATCTTAATAAGGTAATTGCTTCTGTAGGAAGAATGCACACTCTTCTTTTGTATGACTTGAATTACACATGCATAGATAATCTATGTTCATTTGTCTTTTACTCTTGCATGTTACACAAGCATAGAGAATCTTTGTTCGTCTGTCTATTACTCTTATATGAACATCCTCAATACCACTAGTCTTTTTCACCAATAAGTGATGGCATTTATCCTAGTTTTCATTTATGAATTTGATGGATGATAAACCACTTTCTTTTATGTATTTCATTGGATGTCTCTTATTGTCGTGCAGATCATGGCTACTGCTTACATTAAAAATGAGCCTTGGGAAATGGGAGTGCACAAACGGAATGGTGTTGTCTATCTTGACGTGCATAAACTGCCAGAGCGGCCACGGAGTGAGTTGGATCATCGAAGGTACCAAGACTTCTATAACATCCCAATCATCATCATCATCATCCTCATTACATTTCCCTCAGTAACATGAAGGAATCAAAGGCGTCGAGGTGGTGTGCGGGCTTGCTTATTTCTTTTATTGCTTATTTAATTGACTTAAAGTTCTAATTGCATCACTTTTGATTTTTTTTAATTTAGATGTTATTGGGGGTATTCTTTTGAGAGCCTTGCCACTGAAGATCCAAGAAGAGATGATGGTGAAGGGATACATCATGTTGATGCCAATGTTGAATACTGTTCAGTGATTAAAACCAAATTAGGGGCTCATCATATTTTGTTATGAACTGAGGAGAATAGAGAAGGAAAAATCGAAGGAATAAAGGTTTTAGAAGAAGAAAAGCATAGAGATTTTAGAAATCAGAATTTCATTCATTCATCAGGTGATTTCTTTCTTCCCCAGTACACGATTTTATTTGCATTACAATGTACTATGGCAATTGTGAAAGTGACAGCTGTATAACTAACTTCTAACAGATTCCCTACAGATAAGAACTAAATATTTTCCTCCTTTGGGCTGTTGGCTGGATTGCAGGCCGGTTCTTGCTGCATAGGTAATGGACTTCCCTTTTTATATCTATTGTTTTAATAATCACTTGCTTCCCACGTGCACTCTCCTCTTTCATCCAATCCCTAAATTTCCCAATTGATTTACTCTCAACCCCTAACCCTTCCTTAGTAATTCCCAAATTACTTTCTTCGAGTCTAACTTCTTCTTCTCTGCCTTCTCTCTCGTGTTGACATTACCCCCTCCACGAGTAGATCCTTGTCCCCAAGGATCGAAACTTGGAAACCGAGACATGAGACTGGTATGAGCTTCCCAAGTATCGTGATTTGAGTTCAAGTTCATCCATCGTACGAGTAAATTCTGGCAGAAAGATTGCAATCTTAGGTATACTTCTTCTCCAATTTGAAACTGTCGTTCACTTCGATTTTTATCAGCATGTTGTTTAATTCCGTTCTGCAATATATCTGGGACCTTATGCACTGTGAATTCTAAACACCATAGCAGAGTAGGTGGTTTATCGAAATTCACATTCACTTCATACAACACCCCATGATTGTTTTGTGAAACTTTGTTCTTCCCTATATCTTTTGGGCTCTCATTTCTCCGTTTCAATGTAACAAGTTGCCCAACTCGAAGACCAACAGAATAAAGAGGTAGAAACCCAATAGCTAAGCATGGGTCGTGGATTGGCAGCTGCAAGATTAGAGCACTCCAAAAGATTAAATTCTGACTAGTATTGAAACTGGAACAATAATCGTTCAAAGCTTTGTAGTTCACCAAGTTTCCATTGTGACCAACTTCAGTAGACCCAAACTTATACCCCACATCTTTCTTATATTTGCCCCAAACCCACTGTTGGGTTTCAACTTTTGGAATCACTTCAACAATATTTAGTTCACCACCTTCTATTTCTTTTCCGATAAGAGCAAGCATCTCTACCATTTGAAGTTTAAGGAAAAAATTTCAATTGATTCAGACAATCTAAGTTCTCCAGCAGCTGAATCTGATCGAACCGATGTGTACCCAAATAACAAAGGACTGTTATAATCTGCATTAGTCCTCATAAGTTTTAGCATTAACCGCATTGATGAGAATGATTGTTCTGTCAATAATTTCTCCATACCAACTAAGGAGAGTTGATCCTTCATAGCAACTAGAATATTCTTCCTCCCTATAGTATATCTTTGAATCCAGAATAGTCCAACGTAATACACCCTCATATTCCATTATATGAGTAAACATAATTTTCTTATCTGCCACCAACCCACTTAACATGATATTTGCACTATACCTTGTATAGTTTCCAACACTACAAATTCCCCTCTCCTTCAGATGATCCTTGCTCTGAAATCGACCTTTTTCTTGCTTTTCTACCATACAGGTTACATCATCATCAATTAGTTTGACAGATTGCAATAACTCAACAACAACATGCTCTAGTCCTGATTTTTTAATGGATTCTGTTAGCACAATATTATCCTGCTTTGCAACAGTAGAACTTTTTTCTGCACCTGTTGATCTATTCTCAAATTTTGGAGATTGAACATAACTTCTTGACCTTGTGAAAACATCTTCACTCCTTGCTTTGCTCCGGCATTGTCCTCTTTCTTCAGTTTTCACACCACAATATACAGTATTATAAACAGGTCTGACAAATTTTGACTCCAATAACTCATGAACATCAAGCTGTTGTCTTGATTTGCAGATGGATTCTGCTGGTACCGTACCATCCTGTTTAGAAACAGTAGAAGTGTTGCCTGCACCTGAAAGCCCACTCATAGACATGGAAGGTTGAGCAGAACTTCTTGATCTAGTGACTCGACCAGAGACAACCTTTTCATTCTTTTCCTTGCTTCTGCAGTCCACTCTTTTACCCTTTTCCACCTCATAACTCACAACATTATTCTTCTTTGCAACAAAAGGATTGTTGCCTGTACCCAACGGCCCACTTTCAGACTTGGAATGATGGATAGAACTTCTCATTCTTTCAAAATTATAGCCAACAATATACCTATATCCACCTAAATAAGTTACCACAATCTGTTCATGCCCAACAGACATATAAATAACAAGAAAACCTTTTCTCTTTAATGTTCGGATTATGCACGGATGAAATTTAATTTGTTGTTCCCCCTGACCTTTAGGACTACTTAGTTTCTTCCTAGTCCCATTGACTTTCAAGTTGCACCATGCATGAAAACAATCTATGCCAAAACAGAGACTACCCAGTGCATTCTTGGAGTCATGAAATAATTTTAGGAGACCACTGAAAATGCTCGGTATACCCAACTTCAACAGAATAGAAAGCGTAAGGTGCAACCTTTGATTCACACTCCAATTCCTAACCAAATAAATTATACTCCGTCCCATCCACAAAAGTCTAAACACATAAGGATCAAGGGTCGAAATATGTTCATTGGTAGTCATAAACATCATGAAATAAATTTCTCTAAGCATGGATTGAACTAGAGAATTCAGCTTATTTGAGTTACCAGCTGTTTGACACTGTAGAAAATAAACCACCTTTGCCTTTGAAGGAAAATCAACTAATTGTTTTTGTGAGTTTATAACCATTTGAGTCTCGCCCTCCAAGAGTCTGGATAAATCCACGACAAATGGTTGAAAGGTAGCAACTTGAACCGACATAGGCAATTCTTGATTTTCTCGCGAAATTAGTTTGGTGTATCCAACCAGACTGACGTTCTGCTGCAGTCGATTTTCTCGCGAAATCAGTTTGGTGTATCGAACCAGACTGACGTTCTGCTGCAGCCGTGAATTAGCTTTCATGGTGCTGGTGATAGATGGAAATACAACACTAGCTACACTTGCTGACATTTTATCGAACATTTGAGAAACGTTATATGTTCCTTCTATTGCCACGATAACATCCTTTTAGGAGTGAGGAAAATGGGTTTAGACTCACCCAGTGAAAGTTGACCCATTCCTTTTCCCCATGAATTTGTTGTTCCTGTAGTTGAGTAAAGCAGTCCCCATTAATTTGCTTTTGCTCACTCTTTTTATCATTCAGAATATGTAAGATCTGCTCCACATATCTTTGATTTGTTTCCAGTTTAGATTCCAACGTACTCAATCTGCTTTCCTGCTTTTTCCACCATTTAGGAGGATTAGTTTCATCCTGTGATTGCTTCATCAAAGCTGTTAAATCTTCAAGTTGTTTTCGTATGGCAGAAAGATCAGGATTTTCTGGCATTGTTTGGTTTCTTTTTGGCATACTCAAGCGTTGATTGCTAGGAGTGATGGCTCTGTATACCAATTTGTTATGAACTGAGGAGAATAGAGAAGGAAAAATCGAAGGAATAAAGGTTTTAGAAGAAGAAAAGCATAGAGATTTCAGAAATCAGAATTTCATTCATTCATCAGGTGATTTCTTTCTTCCCCAGTACACGGTTTTATTTGCATTACAATGTACTATGGCAATTGTGAAAGTGACAGCTGTATAACTAACTTCTAACAGATTCCCTGCAGATAAGAACTAAATATTTTCCTCCTTTGGGCTGTTGGCTGGATTGCAGGCCGGTTCTTGCTGCATAGGTAATGGACTTCCCTTTTTATATCTATTGTTTTAATAATCACTTGCTTCCCACGTGCACTCTCCTCTTTCATCCAATCCCTAAATTTCCCAATTGATTTACTCTCAATCCCTAACCCTTCCTTAGTAATTCCCAAATTACTTTCTTCGAGTCTAACTTCTTCTTCTCTGCCTTCTCTCGTGCATGACATATTCTGATGGGTGCTGAAATGGATTGTTGTGATTCAACAGATGAGGGAAGAAGATTTTATGTGGAGTTGAAAACAAGTCGTGAGGTAAATATGTAACTAACTTAATGGTTTGTGATGCTCTATGCTTCGCTTGCTGCCTTCTCATTATTGTAACAGTTTTACTTGCATAACTCATGAATGTGTCACTGCCTTTGCAGTTGGATTATCATACAGAGGAAAATATGAAAGAGAGAAACTGTTGAAGTTCTGGGTATGTTTTTTTTTGGTCTAATGGACTATTGATTGTGCCTGGATTATCTATGAAGTTTTGCATGAAAATTATAAATCTTATTTTCAGATTCTTATTTCATTAGTTTGTTTTATCAGAAATTCTTGGGAAATGGCATTTTTAAAAGGTTTACTGAGAAAAGACATTCTTCCCTTTCAAATTAGCCTTTATTTGTAGAGAAAATAACTTGGTTGTTTTATTGTCAGATTCAATCTTTCCTGGCAGGCGTTCCTTATATTGTTATTGGATTTAGGTAATTTCTGTTTGCATTTCGTGCTAACTTCAATTGCCTTAAGATGTCACTCTTTCTTTACTTTGGCTATAAAATCACTTCGTTCTATGACAAGTTTAGCTCTAACATAGGAGATAAATAACAAAAAATTGTTTCTGCACGTGCACTCTCTTCTCTAAAAATGCTTAGCTGTATTTATCTAGAAAGCGATGCCTGAGCGGTTCAGTTCCATGGTGTTGTTTGTAGTAGGCTTTTATCTTTTTCAATTAAATATGAAGTTTTCCGTTGACATGTTTCGTGTAGGGATGATTCAGGGCGACTTGTACGCACTGAAAGACTTAGAACCAAAGACATCACTCATCGAGTGAAAATGAAGAACTACTGGCAGGTATTATGTACTACAGCAAATGCTTCTAATGAGTTGATTATTTTTTACAAAAATTGTATTCCCATTTGTATAGCCAAAGGTATTACCCGTTGATAGTGAAGAACTACTGACTTGCAACAAAGGTTGTGCTTATATACATGCACCGAACTTGTTTTCCCCGTTTTGGAATTACATTGATTCTTTGTTCTATTAATATATCGTTCCTCTCTTATTTAAAACTTATCTTTAGGGAGGAGTCTGCCTGGCATTTGCTGATGAAGTATTATGTTGGCTTTACGGAACAGTCAAAGAGACTAAGATTCTAACTTCCATTTCTCTTTCAACATGTGCTTCAGCCCTTTCGGTTGTTTTTTATGGGAATGTATAGTTGTTTATATGATTAAATAACATCGAGCACCATGGAAGTTTTGCATTTTGTCATCTCAGTAATCTGATGTTGCTGATATTTTAGATAATGACTGGTTTCTTCTGTTGGCATTAGATGAGGATTACATACTGCAGTTTGCACCGCCATTCAACCGGTTAGAGCTTTTACAAGCGCAATCTTGCCCCGATGCAATTACTAACCACGTTGAACAATTGTAATTATTGGCAGGTTTCTTGTTTGTAATTCGGATAGTTCAAATACAGGATTAAAGAGGATGGTTTATATTTTACCAACTCAGCATTTTGCAGATGAACGATACATCACATGATAATGTCCCCTCCCCGAAGTTGTGCCTTTTTGAGAAAATATTGTAGAATTGTGAAGGCAAAGCCCCAACTTGGTTTGGGAAGATTCAAAAGTAAGAAAAAGAATTCCCTTGGGAAAAATGAATTTTTGTGTAAGGGGTGGTGCAAATTTTATTTTCTTAAGTGGAGTGATTTCTACAATGCTTTGGGAAGACGCTAGGACAAAACGCCGGAAGATCTGACGTATTCTCCAAACAAGCAAGGGGAAGACGCTGTGTCTTGTGTGTCTTCTGCTAATGATGCTAGTTAGTCCAAGCGTCTTCCTAAACACTGTAACATTCACCCTATTTAGAAGAATAATATTGCAGTATGCACACTCTAAATGAAAAAATTCATTTTTTTCAATGCCCTACCCAAGCACAATTGCCGTGTATTGTTGAAAGTCGGAACTCATACATGCTGCTTCCACTGTGCTTGTCAAGGGAGCGCTATTATTAATTATCCTAGTTCCAAAATTAAACTGCAATGAGAATCTAGTTGGGATTCTGATGGTTTTGGAAACTATGAGTTACTACTAAAATTAGGTTTAAAATATGCTCCAAGTCCCTCTATTTAGTCTCTCTACTTTTTTTTTATCCATATACTTTGAGATTTAAAAATTCAACTTGAATTTGTAACATTGTTAAAATTCTTGGATGTTCTGAAATAAAAAAAAATTAAAAATGTAACAAAAACATGAGATGTAGCAAGTTACCTCTCAATTGTGGTTGCTCTTTATTTGATGAACATCTTTGTTAGCAAATCTAAAAATATTTTCACGCTAGGTATATATATATTGACAGTAGAAATTTTTTGTATGGAATAAATATCAATCAAATTTTAAATGGGCACTATCAGTAAAATGAACGACAAAAATAAAGAAGTTTAGATTTTAGGACGGGCACGTGCTCACCCTGGATTATACATGCATCCGCCACTGTCTTTGTTCACATGCTTAATTCTCATTTTGGTCACTTATGTTATCGATTGTTACATTTTGGTTACTTATGTTATCGACTGTTACATTTTGGTCACTAAGTCGTTATCTCCTACTTAGTATGATAACGTGTCATGTTAGTTAAAGGGGATTAGTTTTTAATTTTATCCTTGAACTTTAGTAGAATATTAGGTAGACCTTATACTTTAGATAAGTATCATTTTGACCCTTGAACTTTATATAAAATATCAATTTGATAATTGAATTCGACTAAAGTCTCTGTTCGTCGTCTCCACTCACCACTGTCACTGTTAATCATTGTCAGTCAACATTGGCCACCATCACTGTTGACTGTTAGACCCCCAAAATTTACAATTCACCCCTTTTTGACGTTATGAGTACCAATCTAGTGTTCGTTTCATCGAAAAATATTTAGAACACAACAAATCTAGCCTAGAACCCTTCGAATTCCTTTAAAATTAAACCATATTAATAAGTTTATTATTATAAATATTATAGATTTATTGCAATTTAGATAAATTGAAATTTATTTTTAAAATATTATAAATTTATTGAATTAATTTGGGTTGTATATATTTAATATTAAATGCAAGTCTCAATATAACTTCCATAATTGATTTATATATAAAAAATATAATACCTAAATTTTGTTTGGATAGTTGGAATCGAATATAAAACAATTAAAAAATTATTTTTGGACAAAGCAAACTTGCTTTAAGGAGTTTCTACAATGCAATGACGACGAAGAAAGATCGAGAGCTATACAAAGATACAAGAGGTAAAGCAGGAAGCCAAGAAAACAGTGGCTAAAGCAAAGGATAAGGCATACGAGGAAATGTACAAGAGATTAGACACCAAGGAATGACAAAAGGGCATCTTCAGGCTTGCAAAATCCAGGGAAAATAGGAAAAATGATCTAGGTAGCATTAGGTTTATTAAGGACAACAATGGTGTTCTTTTACTGAAAGATCATGATATTAAGAGGGTTTGGGGTAGTTACTTCTTTGGCTTATTTAATGACGGTGCCTCTCCCTGTAGAGATAGTACCATTGTTGGGTCAGCCGACCATCATACTACGACTAATGACTGCCCTACAAGTATGATTGAGTTTGAGGAAGTCAAAATGGCTCTTAGAAAGATGGGGAGGGACAAAGCTGTTGGTCCAGATCAAATTACTACCACTGTGTGGTTGGCCCTAGGAGAAGAGGGCGTTAAGTGGTTGACCAACATCTTTAATATTATTTTAGAGACTGCCTAGATGCCAGAGGAGTAGAGAGACTACGATGATACCAATCTATAAGAATAAAGGAGATCCCCAACGTTGTAGCAACTACAAAGGTATTAAACTACTCAGCCATACCATGAAGATATGGGAAAGGGTGATAGAGGCTAGGTTGAGACAGGTTACTAGGGTTTCGGAAAACAAATTTGGCTTTATGCCAAGCAGGTATACTACGGAGGCGATTCATCTTCTTTGACGGCTTATGGAGATATATAGGGAAAAAATTAGAGATCTTCACATGGTGTTCATTGACCTTGAGAAGGCGTATGATAGCGTTCCCCATGATACGATCTGGAAGACCTTGAAAATGAGACGAATCCTAACTGCTTATATCCGAGCGATTCATGATATATACTGTAGATCTACTACTTACGTCAGAACTACAGTTGGCGACACCAAGGCATTCCCGGTGGAAATCAGACTCCACCAGGGGTCGACACTTAGCCTTTACATCTTTTCCTTGATTATGGACGACATCTATTGTGCGACACCAGACGGTGTTCCATGGTGTATGCTTTTCGCTGACGACATTGTTCTAGTTGCTGAAACAAAAACTAAGCTGAATAGTAGACTGGTTGCCTGGAAGACTGCTTTGGAAGAAAAAGGTCTAAGGATCAATATTGAAAAGACAGAGTATTTATGTTCAAACTTCAGTGGGAACCAAACCATGAGGATGTAGAAGTGTGCATAGAAGGACACGTTCTCCCCTCAAAGGAACGTTTCAAGTACCTAGGGTCTATGATACATAAAGATGGGGGTGTAGATGATGTCGTTACACACCGTATAAAGGCATGATGGCAAAAGTGGAGGGCTGCTACTAGAGTTTTGTGTGACAAGAAGGTGCCTCTAAAACTTAAGGGAAAATTTTATGGAATGGCAATAAGACCAGTGCTACTGTATAGATCAGAATGTTGGGCAATCAAGAAGGATCACGTAAGGAGGATGAAGGCAGCAGAAATAAGAATGCTTTGATGGGCATGTGGTCGGACTCTGTGGGACATGACACCAAACTCTGCTATTAGGATGTCCTTGGGGGTGGTGTCTGTATCCGAAAAATTGAGGGAGGGAATACTACGGTGGTTTGGGCAGTCCTTAGGCGACCAAGCGTCGGATGCTGTCGGGAGGGTAGAGTTGATTACTGTCGAC